ACAGTATGGTAAGGGGCGTAACATTTCCGTCACACGCTTGAGGTATTCGGCCAATCACAACGCATTGGATATCTGGCCAATCAGAGCACACCCTCGCTTTTCAGAACGATGAGCTTTGTAAAAATCGACGTGTTTCAGAAAGGCGGGGCATAGAGGAGAAACAATAATGTACAGTATGTGGAAATAATAATGTAATGTGTTTTTTTAACCTTAAACCGCATAAACACATTTCATTACACCAAATACACAAAATAATGTTCTTTTTAGCAGCATCATATGACCCCTTTAAGCAGCTGAAATAAACTTAACTACAGTTAGACTTTTGACAGACAAGCCACAGTATTTTTTTTCTAAAAAAAAAAATAATAATAATATATATATATTATAATTAATGTATATTGTCCCTGATAAATAAATATTATATATTTTATATAAATAACTAGGCTATATAAATTAATAAATGCAATAATAATAATATCATTGTAGTTCCCCCATCATATCTATAACCTATTGTTTTATTTCAATAAATCTATAAAATCTCTCTCCTAAGCATGAATCATGAATAAAAGGAAATCAGCATGAAATGAAAATTCACCCAAACTATTTTCTAAACCCTGGTTTTAGTTATTTTTGTGAATGATTCATCTGTATACTTCCCACATATCAAAATCAACAACCAATGCACCAAGTCCACATTTTTTTCTTTTTTGATAACCCGTTTTACCTTAATTTTTGTCACAGTGTGGAAGTAAATATATTTCGCTACCACCATTTCGGGGGTAAGAAATAATCCAGTCCAATAGAACAAGCAAAATTATTTGCTCAGATTGCATGTTGTTTAAAACATCAGCCTGATTTATTGCATCCCTTATATGCAATATGTACATAGTTGCATGTATGCATTTTATGTTGCATATGTTGATTAAAGACCAGTCCATGTTTTGGCTAAATTCAAAGCCAAGCAGCTGCAGAATAAAGCCTAAGTCAGGAAGTCACTCTTCTGTTGCTTGAAATGACACAAGAAGACAGTCCAGCCAAGAGCGACTCCTCCAACAAAAACAGTACGAGCCACCGGCGGGATCAGCGAGAAGTTCACAGCCTGAGACATGAAGAATATCATTTTAGGGAGAAAATGAGGAAACTTCATAGAAACAGATGAACAGAAGTATGAACAAATGGATGGACTAACAGTACCTGCATTGTTGACCAATACACTACTCCAGTCTACCGGAGAGAGAGAAAAAAAAAGTAAATCAGTGTGTCAGAATTGATCCTGAACCTTTAATATTTACATTTATGGTGAATAGTGTTCTTCCTGTGTTCCTTTTGGTTACCTTATAAGAGGTCCAAAATTTAGTTCTCCAGTCTTCAAGGGGATCCTCTGCGCCCTCCAATGTGCTCAGCCCTTTAGAAGTGTAATAAACACTTGTAGTAAAACATTTCCAACTATGAATTCATATGCACAGATATTTATGCGTTGATTTCGTTCAATTATGAAAGTAGAAGTGGAAGTATGATGAAAATCCCCTGGTTCTCACCAATGTAGAAAGCACTTATTGTCATAGGAGCTGCAAATAGCTGGTCCAGAAACACTTTAAGTGACACTCTTCTGATCCCTCCTCCTGGAAACATCCTCTCCAGTCCACGAAGCCAATGGTAATTGAAGTTGGCATGAAAACAGAACCCAACCAGTGCCACCCGAGCAGTCTGGGCCCAGTTGATGCTGTGAAGCTGTGGAGTATGTTGTACTGGAGCTGATGTTTTATTTATTTCCAAAGCTTTTTTATTTCCTTCTGAGTTCCTTATTTTGCTATCATCATCTGTCTTTGCTTCTCCAGCCACAGTAAATTCCTCAATGGAAGTGTTGGAGGGATCTTGTCCCACTCGATCCAGTTTGCGAACTGTCCCTTTGTCCTGAGCTTTTCCCACCATGCTTTGCTGAATGAGGTCTGCTGTGGCAAAAAGCGTTGTGTATCCCACCACATTGGAGATGTATGGATGGGATTTGAACAAAACCCATGCTCTGTTCATGATGACCACTAAACAAGGATAATACATATGTTATTACACTGAAATATGCACATCGGTTTGGTCGGATCTAAAAGTCATTTCATCTGAATGTGAGGTTTTTTTATGTTTAGAAATGACAAAGATAGATAGATAGATAGATAGATAGACACACTGCTTACAGTAACTCACCATGTAGCTGTCCTGTTTCAGAATGAATGACAAATCACAAGGTTCACTTTGTTGGATCCCTCTGACTGATTCTTGTAAACCAAGCAGACTGATTGGTCAAACATAGACCAATCGGACCTGTTTGTTCTGTGGTACAAAGTTCTAGTAGCAAGAATGAGTGTTTATGATAACGTTTATCAGTCAGTGAAAGAATGCGAGAAAAGAACACATGGTGAGAACCAGGGAATGTAAGTTAGAAAAGGGAAAGGCATTAAGCTAATAATCTGTATACAATTTTCTGCTAATGCATGATAATCATACAAAATTAAATGCACAAATCAGATGCACAGTATGAAGTATGAAGCTCACCAATGTTAAACTTGAGAGAAGGACATTGTAACACCAGGCTGAAAGCTGAGGATCTTCAAAACCGAGAGAGAACATGAGCTGACACGTGTGTGTGTGTGTGTGTGTGTGTGTGTGTGTGTGGGTGTGTAGTTGTACTAAATATAGTGAAGAATCTCCTGTCCACAGACCACTGCAAATGTTACCATAGTGCTGAATGATAATGGACCAAGAATGATTAATATAAACTACATTCAAACAAGATGATATTACCAATTTACCATCTGGGTGTTATTAACTAAAACTACTGAAAATCATTTATTATTTCAAATAAAGCAGAAATAAAATATGCATTAGAGGAAACACTTAAACTTAAAATTTTTTTAAATGAATATTAGAAATAAAATAAGCTAAAGTACTAAAATTACTATAACTTACAAAAAATAAATTAAAGCTAAATAGATATATTAAGCAAACTAATAAAAATAACATAAAACACAACTGACTAAAATGTAAATTAAAATGAAAACTGAAAATATAAGAATAAAAACTAATTTTAAATGTGAATAAATATATAGTATATAAATTAAAATAACACTGAGCTTGGTGTTTCTTAAACTTTTATGTTATATCATCTTTATTAAAATGAACAGAAATACCTTTGTGATTTTCTTTTTTCATTATATGAAGGTATTTTGTGTGAAGGAAACAGGAAAATGAAGGTAATGAATATAATAGTAATACTATTATTATTATGCATTTTTTTCAATAAAGCTGTAATTTTGTCAAATTATGCAGATGTGAAAAATGTTTAATTGTGTGTATAAATACTGTTTCCACAACTGAATGCTATCAAACATGATGCATAATTTCAGATGTGAATAAAACTACACTTTGGTGTCATTCTCATGACTTTAAAAAAAAAAAAAATGTTCCATAGAAGAAAGAACGTCTCTTCCAAACAGGTTTGTAACATAATGGTGAGTAAATGATGACAAAATTCTAATTTTTAGGGGTGAACTATCCAATTTTTAACTATGGATATATTTGGCACTAGTTTAATTTGTCAATTAACAATTGTCCAACAGAGAACATACATACATCACAGCAGAATTCTTTCCTTTTAAATGAACTATCCCTTTAAAAATGAATCTAATTTCAAATATAAATGCTATATGTGGATATAGAATATTCCATTTTCTTTGGCGTCATAAATTAAGCATTAAGCACAGTTAAAATGAATATGTATCTGCTGCTATGAATCATGTCATATTTCCTGTCCTCTGGTCCTCATTCCATTATGTTGAACGCCCCCATAGATATGTAAAAACAACCTTTTGTCTGAGGGCTGAAAAGTGAAGGCAATTTGTCTGTGGCAACCAGCGGAGCTCTCAGACAGGAGAATGCGTTAATGAGGATCCGAGATTAAAGAGATCAATGAAAGGCCCATTAAGTGCTTAGCCGGTGCGCTAACACTTAACAAGCGCAGTTTTTGACAATGCTTAAAGAGAGCACACGGCCCAAACCAGTTGACTTCTAGGTAATTGCTTTTCTTTTTATTTCACTGCACTTCTCTGTCCTCTTTAATGGTGCTGTCTTGCCAGCCTTTCTCTAAGCAGACAAAGAATCAGTCATTCTGTGGCATCATCAATGAATCGATGCCACGCTCCCCTCATCATTCGCTCTCTCTCTCTCTCTCTCTGTCTCTCTCGGTTTCTTGGTCAGTCAGGGTACATAACCTGTGCAAAGCCTTTTGCTTCTCTGTGCACATCATTTCAAAGTGGATTCTTATTGAGCAACAGAAGGTAAGTTGGGCTTTCATATAAAGATTTAATTTGGTTACCATCAGGTTTTAGAGATCTAAATCTTGTTTTAATGCAGTGTTGGAGTAGTTGTGCTCCTTTAGTTTTTGTGGTACATGATTGCAAACCAACATGTTGAAAAGCTATTTTGACATTCTTTGACAATTTAGAAAAGTGACTGAATCTGATGTTGAATATGATCTCTCTCTGTCATGCTTATATTTTGTCCTCATTCTATTTCCAAAGCTATGCGTCCATCCAGTATTTTGACCTTTGAACCGGGGTTGGAGTCTGGAGTGCCATGGGGCCGTGATCTTTTTACTTTTGTGACTTCAGCAGCTGGTCACATGATGAGGACTTTGCAAAGACCACGTAAAAACAAGCCATCAAAACGACAAGTCAATCATCGCAGGTTTCTGCACAACATGATACAGAGGTGTGTTATACTGGATATATTCATATTGTTCAAAGATCAGTACATTTTTTTATGTATTAAGCTTATGCTCACTGAGGCTGCTTTTATTTGATCAAAAATACAGTAGAACAGTAATATTGTGAAATATACAATTTAAAATAACTGTTTTCTATTTTAATATATTTTAAAATTTCATTTATTCCTGTGATGGCAAAGCTATGGAAGCCCGTTTCCGCCACTGAATAAAAAATAAAAAAGGTAATTGCGACTTTTTATTTCACAATTCAGACTTTTTTTCTCATAATTGCGTGATATAAACTCACAATTGCAAGACATAAAATTGCAATTCTGAGAAATAAAGTCAGAACTGCGAGATATAAACTCCTCGCAATTCTGACTTTATATCTCGCAATTCTGACTTTATATCTCCAATTGTGACTTTATATCTCGCAATTCTGACTTTATATCTCCAATTGTGACTTTATATCTCGCAATTCTGACTTTATATCTCCAATTGTGACTTTATATCTCGCAATTCTGACTTTATATCTCCAATTGTGACTTTATATCTCGCAATTCTGACTTTATAACGGGCAATTCTGACTTTATAACTCGCAATTCTGACTTTATATCTCGCAATTCTGACTTTATATCTCCAATTGTGACTTTATATCTCGCAATTCTGACTTTATAACTCACAATTCTGACTTTATAACTCGCAATTCTGACTTTATAACTCGCAATTCTGACTTTATAACTCGCAATTGTGAGTTTATAACTCGCAATTGTGACTTTAAATCTCGCAATTCTGACTTTATAACTCACAATTGTGACTTTATATCTCGTAATTCTGACTTTATAACTCGCAATTCTGACTTTATAACTCGCAATTCTGACTTTATATCTCGCAATTCTGACTTTATAGCTCGCAATTCTGACTTTATAACACGCAATTCTGTGAAAAAATGTCCGAATTCTGACTTTATAACTCACAATTCTGACTTTATAACTCGCAATTCTGACTTTATATCTCGCAATTCTGACTTTATAGCTCGCAATTCTGACTTTATAACACGCAATTCTGTGAAAAAATGTCCGAATTCTGACTTTATAACTCACAATTCTGACTTTATAACTCGCAATTCTGACTTTATATCTCGCAATTCTGACTTTATAGCTCGCAATTCTGACTTTATAACACGCAATTCTGTGAAAAAATGTCCGAATTCTGACTTTATAACTCACAATTCTGACTTTATAACTCGCAATTCTGACTTTATATCTCGCAATTCTGACTTTATAGCTCGCAATTCTGACTTTATAACACGCAATTCTGTGAAAAAATGTCCGAATTCTGACTTTATAACTCACAATTCTGACTTTATAACTCGCAATTCTGACTTTATATCTCGCAATTCTGACTTTATAGCTCGCAATTCTGACTTTATAACACGCAATTCTGTGAAAAAATGTCCGAATTCTGACTTTATAACTCACAATTCTGACTTTATAACTCGCAATTCTGACTTTATATCTCGCAATTCTGACTTTATAGCTCGCAATTCTGACTTTATAACACGCAATTCTGTGAAAAAATGTCCGAATTCTGACTTTATAACTCACAATTCTGACTTTATAACTCGCAATTCTGACTTTATATCTCGCAATTCTGACTTTATAGCTCGCAATTCTGACTTTATAACACGCAATTCTGTGAAAAAATGTCCGAATTCTGACTTTATAACTCACAATTCTGACTTTATAACTCGCAATTCTGACTTTATATCTCGCAATTCTGACTTTATAGCTCGCAATTCTGACTTTATAACACGCAATTCTGTGAAAAAATGTCCGAATTCTGACTTTATAACTCACAATTCTGACTTTATAACTCGCAATTCTGACTTTATATCTCGCAATTCTGACTTTATAGCTCGCAATTCTGACTTTATAACACGCAATTCTGTGAAAAAATGTCCGAATTCTGACTTTATAACTCACAATTCTGACTTTATAACTCGCAATTCTGACTTTATATCTCGCAATTCTGACTTTATAGCTCGCAATTCTGACTTTATAACACGCAATTCTGTGAAAAAATGTCCGAATTCTGACTTTATAACTCACAATTCTGACTTTATAACTCGCAATTCTGACTTTATATCTCGCAATTCTGACTTTATAGCTCGCAATTCTGACTTTATAACACGCAATTCTGTGAAAAAATGTCCGAATTCTGACTTTATAACTCACAATTCTGACTTTATAACTCGCAATTCTGACTTTATATCTCGCAATTCTGACTTTATAGCTCGCAATTCTGACTTTATAACACGCAATTCTGTGAAAAAATGTCCGAATTCTGACTTTATAACTCACAATTCTGACTTTATAACTCGCAATTCTGACTTTATATCTCGCAATTCTGACTTTATAGCTCGCAATTCTGACTTTATAACACGCAATTCTGTGAAAAAATGTCCGAATTCTGACTTTATAACTCACAATTCTGACTTTATAACTCGCAATTCTGACTTTATATCTCGCAATTCTGACTTTATAGCTCGCAATTCTGACTTTATAACACGCAATTCTGTGAAAAAATGTCCGAATTCTGACTTTATAACTCACAATTCTGACTTTATAACTCGCAATTCTGACTTTATATCTCGCAATTCTGACTTTATAGCTCGCAATTCTGACTTTATAACACGCAATTCTGTGAAAAAATGTCCGAATTCTGACTTTATAACTCACAATTCTGACTTTATAACTCGCAATTCTGACTTTATATCTCGCAATTCTGACTTTATATCTCGCAATTCTGACTTTATATCTCGCAATTCTGACTTTATATCTCGCAATTGTGACTTTATATCTCGCAATTGTGACTTTATATCTCGCAATTCTGTGAAAAAATGTCCGAATTGTGACTTTATAGCTCGCAATTCTGACTTTATAACTCACAATTGTGAGTTTATATCACGCAATTCTGTGAAAAAATGTCCAAATTGTGACTTTATATCACTCAATTCTGTGAAATAAAGTCAGAATTGTGAGATAAAAAGTTGCAATAACCTTTGTTTTATTTTTTATTCAGTGGCGGAAACGGGCTTCCATACAAAACTGAATTTTCAGCATCATTACTCCAGTCTTCAGTGTCACATGATCCTTCAGAAATTATTGTAATATGCTGATTTGGCGCTCAAGAAATGTTTCTTTTTATTATCAATGTTGAATACAGTTATTTAATATATATATATATTTTAAAATTCAGGATTCTTTAATAACCAGAAAGTTAAAAAGAATAACATTTATTTTTGGACATAGATTTTTTAAAAGGTCTTTACTGTCATTTTTGATTCATTGAATGTGATCTTGTTGAATGAAAGTATTTATTTCTTAAAAAATAAACTTTTACTGACCCCAAACTTTTGACTGTATATTTTAAATATATATATATAATATTTTATAACTACATAATTATAAATATTTTAAATAATTATAATTAATATTCCATTTGCCTCTACACAGAAAATTTGCTGAAATAGAGGCAGCGAACCATCAGCTGGCATCTGCTTTATTTGCAACTGATAAACCCCCCGATCATCTAACTCCCAGACTATCTCACATTGTAACAGAAGTCACAGACCAGTCACCCAAACCTTCAAAAAAAGGTAAAAGAGCCTTACTTCTTTATTTTCAAAACCGGTTTGTTCTGGTTTGGTATAAGTTTGATGACTCCTTGTTCTGTTTTCTAAGCTATTGAAACTTTTATAAATGCTGACAAAACCGAAGCGCTTCCTGAACAACAAGAGGATGTGTGTGACCTCTGGACATTGGACAGTCTTTTGGACACCCATGTGGCTGATAAAAGTTTCTCACCGTGCAAGTTCTCCAACAGTAGAGGAAGAAATCCGAGAACTGACAAAGACGGCAAAGGTTTGAAAAACAACCCTGCAAGCTCAATGGAGAAGGACATCGACTTCAGCTTCAGCTTCGAAAGGCAGCCAGCATCTACTGATTTAGAAAGCTTGACTCAAATGAACGACAGTCTCCTAGAGGACAGCATGTCCTCCTGGTTTGGGTCCATTGAAAGAACAAGAACATATTCGAAACCACATCTCACCAAGTACCATGACGTGAAGTTTCTCCCCACAGACATTGATGTTCAAGACCTGTCACCTCCTTCTCCGGTGATTTCACTCTTGTCTTTAGATTCATGTGATTTGGAGGTTCAGATGCTCATAGATGCAGAGCACAATGTGAACCAAATGCAAGATGCCACCATCGTAGAGAGTCTCCAAATGGATATGGTGGATGACCTTGACCTCCTGGATAAAATGGCTGAGTGGATGGATCACAGTGAAAAGGATGGACGATGTTTACAGGAAACATGTGCGTTTCCAAGCTCTCTGGATTCAGATCTAGAGAACCTAACAGGTTCTGGTGGTGGGGCCACCAACTCTATGTCCACTTTGGGCCAAACGGGTCATTCATTTTTCGCTAATGTTCTCTGTAGTCAAGAGCCACATAGACGTAGTTTCCATCATGATCAAATAAACTATGCTATGAACCACAATATCATTCTAGAAGACCGGTTTGGTCAGGTTGAACCTTGCATGAAGACGAATGGAAAGGAGGATTGTTATTTAGATACAGATTTTTCTGTCATGGATGGTAATGTTTCAAGCAACCACATGTTCCCAGGATTTGAGAGACAGTTGGACCAATCCAAAAGGATTCTTCATGACGACTGGGAACAACAACCTCTAAAAAGCTCATACAAGAACTATACAAGTCCAGATCAGATTATGATCCAAGAAACTGATATCAGAAATGTTGACAAAAACACTGTGCAGGTTGAGAATCTCAACCAGACTTTATCAGGCCCCCAATGCCCGATAACATGCTGCCTTGAAGGCGTTTGTTATCATAAAGAAGACTCGTGTTTTTACACAAAATTCAGAGGCAGTCACAACTTTGAGGGCGTGGCTAGATCTTTCCCAGCCACATTGCATAAGCTCCACCCCACTCCAATTCAGACTCCGCCTCTAGATGATGATTGGTTGTTCGGTAATATTGTGGCAGAGGAAGAGGTAAATAGCATGAATAATACATTTGGAAAGTACTGATCAGTCATTGGACATTAATTGTATGAACTGTTTTCATGAATTTCATTGTACCTGGGGATGTTTGATTTTTACACTTTTGTGATTTTATGATCATTTCTGTGAAATGTTCTTGTCTGTGGTGTGAAAAATTAAATATTTTATGTAATAAAAACTGTATGAGTATTGTATCATAATACAAAAAAATCAATTATTTAAATGGATCAATTTACTTTTCAAATGTAAAATTATTGTATTTAAAGAGCCCTGTGATGGACTGGCCATCAGTTCAGTGTTTCATTGTCTTTGGTCCAATATGGTTGGACAGGCTTAAAAAAATGCTTTAAAAGTTATTAATATATTATTTTATTTTTGCGTTTAAGTTACATTATGAACATGAATTAAACTTTGAAATTTTAAATGTCTGTTTATTTATCAATTTAAAGTGATTTATTGTTATACTTAACTACGCTTTTAAATGTAAAATGAAGTTTTAAATATCTATTTATTTATTCATTTGAAAAGCGATTTATTGATTAATTAATTTATTCATTTACTATTAGTTTATTTTATTTTTAGATATAACCATGTTTTTAAACTTAGCATACTGTAAAACTATTTTAAATGTCTAATAATTTGTCCAATTCAACTGTGATTTCTATTTTTGGTTAATAAACTGATGATTCATTTGATTCCTTCATTGTAATTTTATGTGGCACTATGCTGATGGTGAATCGATAGTGTGTTAGTGTGAAAATAAACCACACTGATTTCAAAACCAATGGTATATTAAAATTCACCCCAGTCTCAATTTATCATTATAGCAAAATAAAGCGAAAGATCAAATAAACAACATGGTTAAAAATTCAAGTTCCACAAATGCAAAAAAGCACACAGTCCTCTTCAGAAACACTTCAGATACAAACATGTTTCTCCGCTGGAGTTTTAATTCCTTTTCGTACATATTCTCTGCTATTGTCCACTCATCTCACACCGGTTCAAAGCTGCATTATAAAGCACAGGTTCAGTATAACAAGGCTCATTTATTAACCTAAAATTTAGGATTCAGAGAAATACGACTGGTTTTTGAATTCAAATGCTCTCCAAATTGATTTTTTGAGTTTGAACAGCTCTGCAAATCTTGTACAAATCAATTAAAATGACTTGGTTTCCTCCCTTTCAGTCAACATTTTACAACTAAATACAATTCCATCTTGATTCTAGAGATCAGAATTTTAAAAATACATTAAATGAAACATTATTGGGGCAAATAAAACAATTCAAGTATCAAAATGGATCTATATAACCTATTACAGACATTTTACGTACAGTGATGATCTAGTACGAAAACCCTGCTTTCCGATTTATAGGACAGATACTGTTGCGGTATTAATAACTGCGGTAATAACAGTGTAATAAACTCCTCAGTGCATCAGCGAATCAAATTGTAATTTCACAGGCTGAACAGATCTTAAATATGTTCTAATACTTAATGGTGACAAACGATTATTATTCACAGTTTAGCATGTGTAAGTCAGGAGCAGTGTATTAAAATGCTCATCACCATACAATATCTATGAATGACAATATTAGAGACTTGCGTGTAGTGAAGGTTAAGGAAACTTTCATTTGTCATGAATTCATCAATTAAAAAAAAACATTTCAGAACCAATCAACAACTGTAATCTAAAAAGTATCTATGAGAAGGATGTCTGAGTCAGATTGCTGTTCAGGGAGACTTAATATTGCAATTTATTTATCAAATTTCAGACCTCGTTCTTATTATTTCACTGATTTTCAATGGACTCTACAGGCACTGTTGACATGCATACAGCTAAAATAATGTCCCTTTAGTCATCCATACGCCCCAGATTGTGTGTAACAAACGCTTTGATCCATAAATATTTACCACATTCAAAAATGAACAAACAAAAATACAATATGTCCTTTTGATTCAAAAAAAAAAAAAAGTTACATTGATATAATGAGATAAGTAATAACTAGCAGCCTTCAAACCCTGGGAAAAACAGGCAAGATATTATATGTTTATATCTTCCAAGTTCACACCATGACATAGAAACTCTGATAACAGACTTCTCACTCTTGCCCAGTGTCAGAACCATATTGACGGATGTGTTATTTGAGTTTGATGTGTTATATTCTTTGAGGTCCGCTGCAGCTTATTTAGTGAAAATGTATTTTTTATTCTGTCCAGTGTTACTGACTGATACCCTGCTAATTGTAAACCCATCCTTACCCTCAAATTCTCTTTCATTTCGCCTCGTTTTCACTTAAGACTGCAAACTATACAACAACCATGACATGTCTATGTGCAGACAAAAAATCAATACAAAACAAAATAAATAGACTGCATACTGGAATTCTCTTATTTGATCAAAATTACAACAAGTCAGTAGTCTGAAACTGGTGCCGATGTGTTAAGACATAAATTAAGAAATCCTAACTACCTATCTACGTCACTACTAACAAAAGCGTCCCTTTAGAGCTACCTAACTATCTACGCACAGTATCTAAGAGGGTTCGATCTGCAGCACAGATACCCTGGACTCAATAGGGAGTTGAACTGAATACTAAAGTTTGAATGAGATCACAGCAGGTATATTTCAAATATAGTTACTGTTAAATCTACATGGAGGTGAAATCTGTCAGCTTTGGCTGCTTTTCTTTTGTTTTCTGCTATAAGTCCAGTATCTGTTTGACCTTTTATGCATTTTTTTAATTTTCTGTATCCTCATTTTTTTCTTATGGTCAGGTTATGGCTAAGATGTAAAAGCTATAATGGACAGCTCAAATTTGTAGCATATTAATTTAACAGAAAAGCATTTTTCTCTTTCTCACTTGCCTGTCTTTGTTTTATACAATCATAGCTTTGTGCATTTAAATTTCCATCTATGGAAGCCCCTTTTTACCTCAGAGTAAAAATTCAAAAAGATAACTGTGACAAAGTTTAAAATGTGCTGTGAGATATAAAGTCACAATTATGAGATATAGGGCCAGATTTACTATCAGCTTGCGCCAGCACAAACCCTCATTTGGAGTTAAAAAAAACTACTGTCAGGATTTACTAAAGACACACAGTGGGAAATTAGCGCTGAAAAGGCGTGGACGCAGTTATTTTTGCGACTCACCTTATTTAATATGCATTTGTAGGAGTTTCTCTTTCAATCGGTAAATTTATAGAAGGTAATTATTTAAAGGGGTCATATGATGCGATTTAAATTTTTCCTTTCTCTTATTTCGTCATGCCTGGAGCTGATCCGTGCTAATCGCTGAGGAAACACTTCAACTTCGCGCTGTCGATCGCCAGATCGGCTTTCACCGTGGACGAAGCGGAGTCATGACCCCTTTAAAAGAATCATGCAACGCGATTTACATGCGCTCGAAAATTCACTGGTATTTGCGCCATTATTTAACGCCCAAACAAAGCATGTCTTAAAGCAGGCATTAATTTGCGATGCTCTTGGTAGATTGCGCAGGTCATTATGGAAATTAGATGTTGCGTCTGTGTTTTCTAATGTGCATCTTGTCAGTAAATAACCTGCAGAATTTTCCCCTCCCATCGGCGCTTTTATGGAATTGCTCTCTAACGCTAATTTGCCCTGTTTAGTACATCTGGCTTATAAAGTCATACTGCACGATAGAAAGACATTAGGTCAAATTTTAAGTTACGAAGTCACAATTAGTGGAAACAAACTCGCAGCTGCGAGATATAAAGTCACGGCGTGAGATATAGTAAGATTTTGAGATATAACACCACAATGCGAGTTATAAAAATGCAATTGTAAAAAACAAACTTGTTTGTGAGACGTAAAGTGACAATGTTTAAAGAGAAAATTGAAATCGCAAGATATGAAGTCACACTGTGAGATATGAAGTCACATTTTGAGATATAATGTCACATTGTGAGTTATAAAGTCGCAATTGAGAAAAACAAACTTGCATTTGTGACATATACAGTCACAGTATTGAGAAAGAAAGTTGCAATTTTAAGGTATAGTCAAATTGTGAGATATAAAGTCACAATTACGAGAATCAAATTTGAGGTAGTGACACAAAATTGCAATTACCTTTTTTTTTCTTTACTGGGGTGGAAATGGGCTTCCATAATCATCATCTCTGCCTAATTATGTATAACAAAAAGCATTGTTGTCTATCTGAAGTAGAGCTATCACTTTTAAAATTTAAACACAGAGATATTCTAAAATACCAAAGAGACATCCTTGATCCTGTTCAACTCTCAATTTCTTAAAACATTACATTATTTTAGGAGTGAGAGAGAGAAAGTTTCTCAGTGCTTTGAGGGTTTGATGGCTTGATGATGCATTTTAGCCTGATCGTGGATCATCTGTGCAATACCCGATGGCCTTTGATTGCCATCAACATGCAAATTTCTCCTAAACACATGGCTTTTGATTGATTGAGAGAGAGCTTGAGATGGCCGTCATAATTTTGCCACAACAAGCCTGATATACTGCATCGATATACAGTACTTGTATTTCCCAAGGAATGCTGGGAAATGTCGTTTTCTTTTCTCCTCAACTTAAAAACTGCAGTCTTTACTCACTGCTTGCTTGGTTTAAATAGTACTATAAGAGTACTGCATCAGTCTTTCTCCATCTTGCATGCTAATCTGTTCATTTAAAATCAATAAATCACATTAACTAGTTTCAAGTTATGTGTGACAGCACGGATGTTCTGTTATGTGTACGATTGCAAAAGCTATGTAAGTTAAACCAGTAAAACTGTCCATCTATCGCACTCTCCCCTTCTTATTCAGCGTCGGTAAGGCTGTATGGAGGAGGGGGGCCCAGGGTGTTGTCTGAGGGTGTGGGGGTACCCGGCGGGCCGCTGGACGGGGTGGGAGAAGCACCTGGATCCTCAGAATCAGAGTTCTCCTGAGAAAGGTCATCCACCAGAGCCCTGCGGCCAGCACGCATGGAGATAGGGAGCGGCGCTCGCCTGAGACACAAACACAGAAATAGAGAATTCACTGCAATTCATGCACAAAATATAATATACATATACAGTGTCCCCAAAACATTATATATGCATTCGACACAAAATATCAAAGCAAGTTTGGACTTTTCTAGACATTTTCACACTATAGCTGTTTAGATCAGAAGTTATTTGACAATATTTTTTACAGTGT